TTTTAATATATTTTAAATTTTGAAGCACCTCTGTATGGTTTTCCATAGGGGCTGTTCCAGTCTGCACTCTCACCGACAGTGTGTGATGTTTCCTTTTTCTCCACATCCTTGCCAACATTGATTGATATTGTTTTTGTTTTTTTTAATATGGGCATTCTCATAGGAGTGAGGTGGTATTTCATCTTGGTTTTGATTTGCATTTCCCAGATAAGTGATGTTGAACATGTTTTCATATGCCTGTTGGCCATCAGAATGTGAAGGACTATGTGGATGCCTTGATGGTTGATATGGTAACATACATCTGAAGAAATATGAACCTAAGTTACTCTAAATCACATACAATATTAAAAACCTATGTTACTTCAATTTAAAAAATTGAAAGAATAGAATTTAACAGGATTGAGAATTTGATGAGCGATGAACAGAAAGATACTTTCTTCAAATAGAGAAAAAAACTACAGATATACAAATGCATAGTAGTTGGAATATTCAAACCAGGATACAGGTTGAAAATAGTTCATATTGGCTCAGTGTAGCAGAGTCAGCCTGTGGGCATTCTTGAGAGCCCCTGTAGAAACAGATCATTTTACCACTTCACTGTTACCATGTCTTTGTGTCCCGGCTCCATTGCCTTTGAATGACTTGATTTCCCGCTTTTTTACCCTCCAAGTTTCTTTCCTCACTTTACCATTTGTTTTGGTTGAAGGTCTCTCTTGTGGTCTGTGAATGGTAGATTTTAACCTGCTCCCTCATCCCTCTGGTTTCAGATGCCACTGCCCTTTCCTTCACTGGTCTAGCCAACAACGGGCACATGATCTCTTTTTAGGATTTGTGCCTGATTCTGAATAGATATGTTTTATCACATATCATAGATATGTTTTCCACAGCACCAGTGACATCTTGTCACTTTTTAAAATTAAATTTTCTGTAGTTTTTGTACATTTAATTCTGTTTACAGTCAAAGTTTTGGTTTGTGTGTTAGTCAGCTCCCAGCTAACAGCCTCTTGGCGGATGATTCTGAGTTGTTATTGTGTTTACAGGCTGTTGAGAATTCCACGCTGCCTAAAGTTTTTTCCACTTCTAGCATCCAGGCACTTTTTCTTGTTTCCCCAGCCCTTCTGAACATTCAGGACCCCTTTTTAGTCTCATGTTTGAACCCATCCAACTCTTTTTGTTTGCCTAATTTTGATTTTATAGTATTCATGTTTTACACCTTTTTCTTGACTCACACCAGTGTTTCCTCTCATTCTGTTGATTTCAGAAGGCTCAGAACATAAAATATCACTTGCCAAAGCCCAGAACATAAAACTATTTATATCACTTGTGAACTACCCAGATGTTTACTGCTAAAAGAGGGAAAGCAAACATGTGACATTTTCACTCCAGACTATTCCTTTTGGCCCTCTTTTTTCCATACAATCATGGTCTTTTTTCATTAAGTTTACAAAAATAGTTTAGCAGTCTTTCCCCATAGCTCCGTTCTCACATACCTTAATCCAGTGTTTACAGTGTTCCCTCATGTTAACAAATCCAAAGGCTGTCATCTTTGCACACTGACTGGTAGTGGACACCTGCCCTCGGTGAGGGAGTGCAGCCATCATTAGCCTCTCACATTTATCCTTTCCCTCCAGCGCCCTCCCTCTGCCACCAGAGTCCTGAGTTCTCACTCCAATTAAAATCTGCTCTAATAGATTTCATTCACACTCTAGGCAAGCTACAGGCAACAATCGAAGATGTCCTTTCCAGCAGTGGGCAGTGATTAACTGCTCTCAAAGCTTTAAATAAAGGGTAACAGATCTGCCATTACTCAGTTTCAGAGCCTTATTGCTGCTCCTGAATGTGACCATGTGAGCAGATACCTGACAGACCAGGTAGAGGGGCCTGCAAAGATACTATCACAAGCTTTTTCCCTATCTGTCCTCCTCTCATGAAAACTATATAGAATCAGATTACAATAGTAAGAAGACCTTACTAATTGTCCAAAATTGATATGACACTCACAGAGCTCCTGGATAGTCCCATGGAATGGACCAAAGAAGACTGATGTGGCCCCCTTAACTGTTTTTAGAGGTGTTAAGTAATTTGGGACTCCTAATGGCATGTCACTCCAAACCCTGAAGTATCCAGTTTGTCATTCAGAAGAGCTACCCATTCAGTCTACTGTGTTCACATCCTGTCTGGTTAGAGTTGTCTTTTAGTAGTGCTGATCATTTTCTTGGCCTCAAAGTTGCTATCTTCAGAAAGGAGTGAAGAACAGAACCCATTTGAAAGTCTTCTAGACCATACCTAGCCTAAGTTTCCTGGTTGGGTTTAAGATGGCAGTGCCATTTCAGCCATGGCCAGGGACTCCTGGATTTTGGGGTCAGGTCACAGTTTTAGTTTTGACTTCTGAAAGCACCTGAGCTTATGTTCCTAGGTTTTCCAACTCTTCTTGATATTTAAGATTGAAGGGACTTCAGTTATCAGTTTGAACCCAAGCAGGCACGTGGGCTATAATGACTTCTGCAGGTGGTTTGGGCTGAACAAACTGGGTCTTGATCTTACACTGTCATCTGGATTCCGAGTTAATCCAGGAAAGCAGTAAAAATTAGTAATGTGTATTACATGCCTCTAAATACATGTGTTTTCCATTATTTGGTCATCTCTGCCCCAGTATGAGTGCACTCGCTTGCTCTCTTCTAAAGCTTTTCTAAAATGAGAGCGATCATGGTTCCAAAAGGAAATGACTGGTGTGGCACCTTGAAATCTGAGCCCAGTCATGTGATCTGGATAAGATAACTCCAAAATACATTAGCAGGTTGACTTCTTCCATCTCCTATTTTTTGGGTAAAAACATTGCTAGGAAGCATTCTTCTAGGCATTCACATTAATTTTCCAGAGACAAGCAGATGATAAGAAAAGATAAGTCCTTACAAAGTGGCAGGACTTGTAAAATTGGGGTTAAGTTTCCATGGCAATAGTTTTGAAGAATACATTGGATTAGTTAACACACAGCAGCAAGCAGCTGTTCTTCTCTAGTAAGACTTGGAAAGAAGGAAATGAACTTCAACTGTAATAGAGATTTATAAGACTTGTAATGGGAAATTCATCATCAATGAGACTATGTCAAAAATTGGAAGAGTTAGCCAGCCAGGAGAAGTGGAGGAATGTCATCTTCCATTGGCTTTAAAATAGAATATATCATCTGTTCAAGGCACTTAAAGTTGATGCACTAGGTCTGTCTAGTCTTTAACTTCTGGGGTTTGTAGGCCCTGTTAAGAATCTGATGGATGCCCTCTTCAGAAAAATACACAAATAAAATCTTGCATGCAATTTTGGGGAATTTATGGACTCCCCAAGGCCTATGCATAAGACCATAATTTAAGAACCCCTGGGTTAGATGATCTCCATGTCTTAACTTCATAAGTGATTCCATGGCTCATTTTTCCCACATATAATAGTGGAATCAAAATTTCAAGTGTCAACCTTTGGATTTTCTTCCTCTAGATTTATAAGACCTGGTATGTGGTGTCAAAGTTAAAGGAAAAAAAAAAGATAATGGAATCGAAAGATTTCTACTTTTAAATGCAGTTTTTGCCCTAGAGAATCCAAATGTTCTATTTGAAAGATCACTGGTTGGCTGTGTATCACCCTCATAAAAAGGCAGTTCAGGACTAGGCTTTGCCAGCAGTCATTCTTCCTAGTCCCCACACCCAGCTCAGGATTCACAGATGAAAATGCAAATCGAGATGCCACGTTGACTCCCCAGCATCCTTCCAAGTCCACACAACTTCCAACTGTATTGCTGGGAATGTCCAGCTGGGCTTGAAAAATAGTGTTTACTACTAAATCTCTTGTTAATTTTATGCCCCAGTTTCATTGACTACAATAGAAAATGACCACCCAGAATTACCAATCAGGAAATAATTTGGCCCTCTCCTAAATTAAGAGCTTCCGTCCTCTTAAGAAAACTGGGTATACTATGTGTACAGTAAACTCGTGATACCAAGTGACCCCCATGCTTGATAAACATGGTTCCATGTGGTTTTCCTGTACCCTTCTGCAAACCACCTCTAGTTTACCTGCAAGCACTAGAGCAGTACCTTTAGTTCTAAATTGAAAATGTACTTGCGGCGCAGGTTCGATCCCCGGATGCTCCCCGGCCACCGGAGGAGGGTCCCACATGGCATGCAGACCTCTCCTGCCGCCCGCTGCTCCCCTCAGCAGTGTACCTTGGTCCTTCTGCCTGCTCTGCTCCCCACTCTGGCTCTGGTGAATTCTCTCACCCTCCCGCGCTTCTGACTGTACCCAGTGCATGTATAAACAAAACAAACAAATAAATAAAAACATGCCTCTATAAAATAAAAATTAAAAAAAAAAAAAGAAAATGTACTTGTTTCTTTGTATCTGGAATTAAAAATTCTCTTAATATAAATGCCAAGTGATAAAGGAAGAGAGCTGTCACCAGCCTTCACCGAACTTTATGCTTCACAGACAAAGCTTTACATTTGTAGTTGGGTGTGCCTATATGAAACTGGAAATAATGCTGATGAATAGGTGCCAAACAGTCTTGATCAAGGTCTCCTTATAATTTACATGATGTATTATTTTTTTTTTTACAATGATTCCATTTTTGAAGGGAAAGCTGAGGGCTTAAGTATTCTTCCCTCTACTACCACTGCAATCTCCCTCTGTTCTAGTTTTTCCAGTTATCACAATATCATGGCGGGAAGCATACAAGACCTGTATATGTCTATAGACACTCCATTGTTAACTCTAGCTGTGGCCCAGCCCTAACTGAACCAAAGCAGGATGTTTGGAAGATGGAAATGGGGCGAGTATAGCTCTGGGGCCCTCCCAGCCTGGGTATAGGTCTGCTTGTGACTGGTGAGCTCCCTCTGCATCTGGACAGCACAGTAACAGTTCACACCCTAAAGCTCATTTTGTCTCCCAAGGCTGAAGCTTAGGCCAGAAATGCAGCTTCTGTGGGGTGTTTATTCTGTGTATATTCTTCTCTGCAGAGAATGTCATCAACGGACAGGACTATGAAGTGATGATGCAGATCGACTGTCAGGTGATGGACACCAGGATCCTCCACATCAAAAGCTCCTCCGTCCCTCCTTACCTCCGAGATCAGCAGAGGAATCAAACCAGCACCTTCTTCAGTTCCCCTCCCACAGCCACAGAGACAACCCAGGTGGTCAGCACCATCCCTGAGTCATTACAGTAACACCCTGGGTGTGCTGGGAGCTCAGGGGGGGACCCTACTACCTGGAGCATGGGTGAAGAATGCGTCTGTGCTTTCCCTGTGGAGAGCAGAGACCCGCCTCAGAGTCCTGAGAGAAGCAGCTGCTGTTTTGCACCAGATCCCCGTCTACTTGGAAAGCACTGGAATTCAGATGCTGGGACAGCATCGCCCTGTGGCACGTGGCACCCTGCATCCTCCACTGTTGCCTCGTCAGTTTCCTTCTGTACCTTTCTAAATTGCTTTTCCTCTGTTTTTATTTTAAATAGTCATCTTTCAGATACGATGCTTTTCCCCTCTCCGCCATTTCACTTAATTAATCCAGTAAAGTGACTTATACACCTGTACAGCACAGATGTTCAGATATTTCCATTGGTGGGCGTTTGCATTAATGTGTACTCATCCTAGATTTTTGTCTTTGAGAAAAGGGATTTCAAAACCAGGAATGCCAAAGAGAGTTAAAACAGTTTGGAGCTTTAGGTAAAAGGAGGAATTAGAGCCCAGTTGATGAAGTTTATCTTTACTTGAGATTTGTAGTTCATTCTGACTCTGCATGTGAATGACGGGAGAGGGGTAGGGAGGAAGTTGCATGACTTTGAGAGAATGAGCTGGAAGAGAAGGTCAGTGGTGGACCTTTAATAGAGGAGATAGCTCCATCAAAACATTTGTGTAAAATAAGGAAAGCTTGTTGTGTTCAGGGTGTAAGGTCAGAGTCACAGTCACCATTATCTTGAGGACTAGGCCTGTGTATCAGCACATGCACTTCTGTCTTTGCTTTCTAATCTGCTGCAGCTCTTCAAGCACCACAGGAGAAACCCTACATTTTTATTGTGAACCACCTCCCCCACTACCCCCACCACGACTCACCTTCTGTTAACGTGATGATACCAAATTCATCTAAGGAATTTGTAACTTTAGACTTAAACAAATGAGCTTTTTTCTCATGAGAACTTACAACTACTCCTTAAGACTATGCAGACAGGCGAGCTTAGATTCCTGCTAGGGGAGTATATCTTGTAACATGGCAATAACATTTCCCATTTCTCCAATGAAAAGCCAGTGAAGGAGTAAACCCTTTAGTCCTTCCAGTGTTTAAAAAAAGCTACTGTGTTTATATCTTACTGTACTTTGACTACTCTTTTCCCTCTGGTGTTCTGCTTTCAATTTCTAGAGTCTTCCTTCCTCCCCTCCTATGAAACTTCTCCATAGAACTCAGTCTGCACACAGCCTCCCTCTCCTAAGTGATTAGCCTTGTGAGATTTCTCCTCTCATTCCCCACTCTAGCAGTATCTTCCATCTTGCAAGAAAAAGAGAGAACTTGTATCCGCTCCTCAAGGACTGCATGTAGCTGAGTAATTTTTTTCCCGGGGAAATTAATTTTGGAAAATCACTAGCACATCTAGGTCTGGAGAAATGCCTCTGTGCCCAAGCTAGTTACATGCTCTTGAGATCGATTTAATTTTCATGGGGAAGTTGGGGTCGACTGCTCTGTTAACCTGGAACTCTGGAGTTTATAGCGTTCATTAGTCTTCCTCTTTGCCACATATCCAAGCTGTTTCAGGTCAGGGCAGCATCCCCCTTGGATTGGAGTCTCCTGGGTGATTTTCAGACAGGAACCTTTCACCCTGGAGACCACGCTTCCTTCAAATGAGCACCGAGAAAAAGGCCAGCGCCTAGCAGAACATTGGGTCACATGCCGTGTGACCCCTGTGTCTCCTGGCCCCGCCGCCTGGCACGCTGTCGTGCGATGAGTTGCTATGACCAGTTTGCAGTGGCAGCTGGGTCAATCCAAACCGCTAGTCTTCTGGGATGGTTGCAGTTTCCCAGTAGCACGAAGCAGTGTGCGTGGGGTGAGGATGAGAGCGCTTCCTCCCTCCTTGCACTGAACACACCAGAAGAACCCAGCCCATGGGCTTCCTCCCTTTGCCCACGCTCTACCTCCTTTCCCAGCCTTTCATTATACTGACTGTTCAGACTGAGGGCTTCAGTCATGCCTGCCACGGTCATGCCTCTCACGGTGACAGTGCAGGTGGTGGATGGTGCAGGTGGTGGATGACAGAAGGAGGCAGACGGAGTATGCTTTGTGGGGTCAGGCCTAAAAGCCATCTGGGAGCCTCACCTCCTTTTCCTACTTGCTGACCCTCAGTCCTAGACATTACCTGTTCCTGAATCGATTGTTTCGAGATGAGTAAACAGGATTCTCCTCAGGATAAACTTTTAGGAAACGAGTATAGGCAACTGACAAATACATAGAATATTGTCCTTTTAAAATTGCTGTCAAAGCTATTATTACTCCTGGGCATAGTTGTCTTTATTTTCATACTTGTGTGCCAGTGCAGAGCCCTATAGGAAACAGAAAATTTCTATTTCTGATTAATAAGTGAAGTTGGTGTTTTAGCTTAATGTTTTTGGTGAGCTTGCCTTTTGGGGGTTGCAACCAGGAATTGGGAGGGGGTGTATGTGTGTACATATATGTAATTTTTTAATTTATTAAGTTTTTGAGTGGGATCTTGCAAGCTTGTGAGAAAATTACACAAACTCATAGAGGAGGTAAGTCTGCTCTTATTCGGTGACTTCGGCCCTTGGGCCTCCAGTAATACTCTCTTGGGAAGCAATGGTGGAGGATGCCGGGAATGGTATTCCTCCTGGTTGCAAGTCCCAAGTTTTTAGGTCTAATGGAAGTAAGTGGTATTTCTTTGTGCGAACCACTGAGTCAGATGTCAGGAGCCTTCCTGTGGGGCTAACTGTGCAGGGACAGAGCTCTGTTAAGATGGTAGTGTAGGCAGTGGCCTCCTAAAGCTAGGATTTGTGAAAGGCTCAATCTTGAAACAAATGTATTGCTTGCTGTGCTTGTAGTTTAGAAACTTGACCTTTAGATTATCAGGTGGGGTTTATGTTTTCACAAGTAAAATCTCCCCCATGATTATAAAAGCTCAGAGCATCTTCTAATTTTTTTAATGACTGCAAGCTCCAGCTCAAAGCTGGTATTTCCTTGCCTTTTCTTGTAAGTAGAGGAGGTATTTGAAAGCAGCAATGTTGTATGAGTCATTCTTGAGTGTTCTGAATAAACATTACTTAGGAACAGACAAGGACCTTGGAATTCAAACTGACTTTTCTATCATTTTTAAAGAGACACTGTCCTAATACAGCCTCTCTGGCTTGTGTCCCTAGAAGTCACAGTCATGACATTCTGGTAAGATACTGCTGCTGTGGCCTTCGGAGTGATTCAATCTGGGGAACACTCAGACTCCTGGTAACTTTTATGTCATTTTCTGCTTCTTGCCATTTTACTAAGCTCAGGCTATGAAATCTGACAGAAAAACACCACGGGGGACAAACTGGTATTTGACTTTCTAACACATTGAAAAGCTTCAAAGGGACTTCAGCTTTCAACTACCTTTTAAAAAAGGTTTACTGAAGAGCCAGAATAAGAACCCCATTCAGTCTGACTTCATGGAAATTCCCAGCCCTGAAATCTCTTCCTATTGCCTGCTGACAGACCTGCTCAGCTTCCTCAGCAGCGTAGGAACAGCACTTGAGGTGCGTCCTCTCATGCTGGGGGCTCTCACAGGACTGCCTTCTCAAGTGAGACTGCTAACATTGATGGATGCTTACCAACACCTTTGGCACTCCCCCATTCTTTACCAAAATGTTCTTTTTGTCAGGCTTGATTCATTGTAACTTATAGAAATCAGGATCATTGTTACTAGTATGAATATTAATAACTTTTACCTTAAAAAACAAAAAGTCTAGCAGGAAGAGTAAAATGTTAAGAGTTTCATTCCTATCCCTAACAACACTTACGAGGAGCAACTCCTGTTTCCCCTCACACCTAGGGTTGTGGTTGATTTTTAATTTTTTAGGAAACAATACTGGACTACCCAAAAAGATGTTTCCAGAGCCCACCTGAACTATGCACTTAAAAGAAATGCAACTTCCTCCTACCTGCATAAAGAAAAGGGGATGTATACTATTAACTTCTATTTTTAATGACTAAGCTTAAAACAAAGTTTATTTTGGATAAGACTAGAATTTTAAGCATTATTGTTTTGATATCTGTGTTCTCTGTTGGGTGTTGTGTCAGAATTCATGAGAAGAATGGCAAAGGTATCTTAGGAGATTTGGTTCTGTGTGCGAATCTTTAGCTTTTGTCAAATAATGGGTGCCATTCTTGACCTACTGGTTTGCTAACTATAAACATTAGAGATATGGCACATTAAACGGCATGGTGCATTGTGGGAGCCAAGAAGTCCAAATCAGTGTATCAACAAACACCCCGTTCTTTCACTGTTTGCCCGCAATGAGACAGGTTACCATTAGTTAAACCAACCAGCCAGGAGGCTTGGCATATCCCAGTATAACCCCAGACAGATAGCAGGTTGATTTTCCTAGCAAATGTATATTAAACTGTTTTAACTCATACTCAGGCCGAATCTCCAGGTTAGTCATCAGGATAAGAGATGATGGGGAAATAGAGCTTTAAATAAAAACTGCTATACAATACTGATCGTAAACCTCCTCAGCTCTTGTTCTTATGTGGGCAAGATGGGCTGAGACCAACAGTACTTCATCCATGGAGCCAGTGGACCCTGAGCAGAGAGTTAGAGAAGCCACTTCACGGGATTTGCTTTCTAAGACAGTATCTATGCTGAGTTAAGAACAAGTCACAGACGAGGAGGAAAGAAGTACCACTCTCTTCCTTTGTATTTATGTCGGTTCACAACATATAAAAACACAATGACCAACTATTACATGCTTTCAAACAATTCTTTACAATGCAATATTTGATCTTTGTCTAAAATTCAAATAAAGAATTTTTAAACTTGGCTTGTTTTGTTCTGTATTTAGAAAAAGACAACCCAAAATGTATCTCCAGTATTAAGAGACTAGTGACAGCAACGCCTAAGATGGTTTTGTGACTTGTTACTATTTAGATGGATTCATTTCTACTCTTCACTCCAGCCCAGTTAAGTAAAACTTTCCTTTATTGTGTCCAGATATTTGAACTACAAGGGGGAAAAACTGTCTACAAACTCAAACTTTATACTTCCACATCAGGAAACTGGATTACATAATTTCACCAACAGCCGCTTCTAAGCCTGCATGACAAACACCACCATACATAAAGCTGGGCACTGCACCACCTAGATTCCAACTCAGAGAATTAGTGCAGGCCTTGGCAGAGCCCCCATGTCTGCCTCAGACACTGCTTTGTGCTCATCGGGTCTGTCTAGTGTTCAGTTCTCCCTAAGGCCCATTTCCTAAGGTGGTTACATAACTAGCAGTAAGTAGTAAAACCAGTATCTGGACCCAGGCAAGCAAATGGCTTCTCAGCCACTACAGTGGCTCCATCTCCTGACCAGACTGGGGGGCAGGGCTCCACCTCCCAAATAGAGGGGTTCCCCTCACAAATAGAGTGGCTCCGATTTCTAACTAGTGCGGCAACACCTCCCCACTAGACTAGGCCAGGTCCTCTACCTCCCCACATGGGGAGCCCCGCACCTCCCCAGGCACAGATCCAGCACAGATTCCTGCCCTAAGAGACCTCACAGTCAGCCTGTGGAACCAGGCTGAAATTAATTTATAGTAATACCAGGATTCACTTACAGGCAAAACTACATTTTCCACACAGAGTACTTAAATTTCTTTAGAAAATTGAGACCTCAAATCTCTTCTGCAGAGAAAGCAGGTCTTGGAGGTTAGGTGGCTGGGGAGCAGAAAAGAGAACATGGCTTGGTCTCTGGATCCTGGAGCCTGCAGGCAGGAGATGCCCGAAACAACTCCCTGGTAGCAGGAGGGCAAAAGGACTTTTGCAAACTGGTGCCAAAATATAAATCCTCTTCATCTTCCCAAATGTTCGGCAAAAACCTGCTGCACACACAGATTTCTATCAGTGTTGCTGGGGAGTAAAGAATGGGAGGAGGAGTCCATGTGCTGATGAGTGAAGGAAAATACAGCCTGTAAAGCCACAGAGCTGAAGAGGGAAATACACACCCTACACCCCAGACCCTGCCTCCAAAGAGACTGTCCACCTGGCACTGCCCACCATTGTGGAATGAGATTCCAGCCAACTTTTGGATCTCAAAGGATAATCACAACTGACAGCGCATGGTGCCAGCGTCTAGCCTACGCTCTGCAATGTAGCTATTGGTCCTCTGTTAGAGAGCTAGACCCTGCCGATGCTCTGCTTACAATAGGAAAGCTATAGCATGTTTCATTCCATCACATTCACTTGGTGTGATCTGTACAGATCCCTCAAGAGACTCCATCCCTGAATTCAGTTTATGTTAATAGGTGCTTATTGAAGACTTCACCTCTGCCAGTCGTAGTGCCAAGCATACAAACGTTAGCTCATTAAGCTTTACCTCATGACATAGGTGGCATTATCCATGTGTGACAGATGAAGAATTGGTACAGAAGATTGAGGAACTTGCCCAGATCTCACAATTATTATCTACTAGAACTGGGGTTTGAAATTAAGTCTGTCTAGATTTTAAAGTCATTTCTACTATACTGCATTGTCACTCATCTTGGACACCTTTAAAGAGGCAACAGGAGACAACGTAGAAAGGAAGAAGCCAAACCACATGTCATGGGCAACCAGGGTGTTGAGGCAGATTGAAGAAATGGGACCATATGGCAAGCATGGGGTGTGTTTTCTGTGAACTGACACCCTCAGAGGGCACACAATGTTGGCCACTGCCCTGTTTCCCTGGACCTCAGTTCTCATTGGGAATGACTTACTCTGTGGGGTGAAGACTAACTGGGGGCTCCTAAGTTGAAGGTCCACTCTGCTTGTGTCCAAGAGCCCAAGTGTGACATTCAACCCCTAGGGTTCATCCACTGTCCACTTTTGTGACCTTTGGAGAGTTGTCACACAGAATTCATTTCCAGTGTGGATGCTGTACTGAGATGGTGAGAGAGGCCTGTTATATAAGAGATTGGTAATCTCCAGATCAAAAACTGAAAGTACTTTTAAAGTAGATGCCACAGCAGATATATCCAGAAGGCCAAAGGCATTCGATAAAACATTCATTGTCACTTCCAATAAGAGAGATGCAGGTTAAAACCACAACAAAGTGATAACCTCACACATGATAATGGTACATATTTAAAAGACCTCCAACAAGTATTGGAGAACATGCCAAGAAAAAGGAACCCTATTGCACATTGGTGGGGATGTAAACTGGGGAAACCATATGGGAAGCAATCTGAATTTACCTTTAAAAAGTTAAAAATGTAAATATCACATAACCCAGCAATCCTGATGAGAAAATATATTATTGAGCAAATGAATTTAATAAAGATTCCAGCGGAACTTCCAGTCCAGGTGCAATGAACATTCCAAGGCAAGCATAATCAACAAGTTTGCTTGCTTAGAGCTCCTTCCCTTTCAAGATTTATGGCCAGGGCTTCCAAGGCCACCTCTGAATGCCTGCATCTTCCCCCCTTGCCTTGTCTTCCTTGTCTGGGGACTTTGCCACAAATGGTTGTGTCTGCTGAAAAATGATGCTATCAATGTAACAGATAAGGAGACAGTTGTGTATAAAAGGAACCCTTGGTCTCTATACCAGGCCTCAGACCTTACGGTGCTACTCAGGTCTGGGACCTCAAACATGAGTAATAAAGCTTCTCCTGACCGCACCATTCCTGAAGTACCACTTGTTTTTCCTCTGGGTAAAAAGCTAGAATTTATCTCTACAACAATCCTATTGTTGGGTAAATATCCAAAGACTATAAAACCATTAACACAAAAACCCTTGTGTTCCACAATGTTCACAGCAGCATTATTTACAGTAGCTCGGACATGGAAGCAGCCTAAATGTCCATTAACACATGAGTGGATCAAGAAGATGTGATATATGGGCATTCCCGGTGGTGCAGCAGTTGAGCGCTGGGTTGCGAAGCTGCCTGAAGCCTCCGCGGTGCCAGTTCAATCCCCGGCTGCTCCCCGGCCACCGGAGGAGGGTCCCACATGGCGCGCAGACCTCTCCTGCCGCCTGCTGCTCCCCTCAGCAGTGTACTTCGGTCCTTCTGCCTGCTCTGCTCCCTGCTCTGGCTCTGGTGAATTCTCTCACCCTCCCGTTCTTCTGACTGTACCCAGTGCTTGTATAAATAAATAAATAAATCTTAAAAAAAAAAAAAGATGTGATATAGCCACACCATGGAGTACTATGCAGCCCTAAGAAAGATGAAATACAGCCCATTTTCAACAAAATGAAGGGAATTTAAGAGAATTATGTAGCAAAGCAAATCAGAACAGTAAAAACAAATACTGGACATTCACAAAGCAGAAAATTCAACAATGTAAAATACTTTAAAAACCAAAAGACATCAATACACACTGTGAGGGCTCTGAAGTTAAGTGAGAAAGGAGAGGGGAGGGGACAAGGGGATATAAGGGATAATGGTGGCCAAATAACTACAACTTGACACCACATACCTTTTATTTATTTTTTTTTAATTAATTTATTTTTTTATACAAGCACTGGGTAAAGTCAGAAGCGCGGGAGGGTGAGAGAATTCACCAGAGCCAGAGCAGGGAGCAGAGCAGGCAGAGGGACCGAAGTACACTGCCAAGGGGTGGGCGGCAGGAGAGGTCTGCGCGCCATGTGGGACCCTCCTCCGGTGGCCGGGGAGCAGCCGGAGATCGAACCGGTGCTGCAGAGGCTGCCGGCAGCTTCGCAACCCAGCGCTCAACCGCTGCGCCACCGGGGAGGCCCCACATACCTTTTAGATTAACTCTGCAATAGGTCCTCTTTTAGATTAACTCTTCACAATAGTATCACTCTAACAACTGCTCCTTCAGATGTGGGACCCTGTGAAGCTAACCCAAAATATTGTTTTCAGGCATAGCCCTGTTTTTGCAAGTATCAACTGGTCACAGGAAGAACTGAGAGCCATCCCTGGTTCTCATTCCTCTGGGGTCCAGCTCAACTTCTATCCTTTGTTTTCTGCATTGTCTGAGCACCCAGTGGCAGCTGGGTTCTTGGCTGCCTTTCTACAGTCAGGGGCCTAGAGGCAGTGACCCCAGACATTAAACCTTTGCAAGAGATGTGAAGTGTTGGCCCAGGCTCAGACATATACCACTGGTCTGTGGGAAGCAACACCATCCTTGTCCTCAAAGACATGTGAATGTTTCCTCCATGGATCTATGTGGTCACCTTTCTATCCCCACAGAAGAGATAATTTCCAGCAGAGGGGAAGAGTTCTGGTCAGCCTGAAAAATGAGTTAAGACACCAGCTACTCTCAGGACAGCTTTGGGCTGGACGACTTATTGGTCAGTGCCTGTCATGGCCACAGAGCTCACCCACTCACTTGGCTACTGGCCCTGGCTCCAAAATGGTCATTTCACCGCATTGTCTCTGGTTTCCTGGAGTTGCTGTGATTCTCTGCTGAGCAACTTGTTCACATCAGACCAACACACTGCCCCTTCCAGCCTGGCAGCCTCAAGCAACCCCCACACCACCAGCTCAGCTGTTTCCATCTAATCTCACCTTGGGGGTGGGGGTGGGGGTGGAAACACCTCAGTTTAAACAAATCAGTAGGAAAGCTGCTGATACATTTAAACCTCTTAGTTGTAAATCACTGAGGGTCACCACTCAGGTGAATGCAACTACAACACATTCCAACTAGCAGCACATTTGGGGCTAATTCTGCCTCCCCAGGAATTATAATCTCATACAAATCCACCAGGCAGCAACAGTCCAAGGGGGGAAAACGTGACTCTTAGAAAGACACATCTCCCACAGCCACACCCATCCCAACTCTCATCATCTCTACTACCACTCAGTTAGTGTCTATAGAACAGAAAGCTCCA